TCTTGCCTCTGGGGGGCGGGACTCGCTTTGGCTAATGCAATGCATTAGGTCTGAGCTTGGACTGCCAGAGGATGGCAAGCCTCTGCTCTCCGGAGCCCTGTCCAGCACCCTGCAAATGGTCTTCTGGAGGATGAGAGGCCCTGTGGAGCAGAGAAGAGCGGTCCAGCAGTGGACATCCAGGACCAGCCCCTCCCTAGCAGGCCCGGCCACTGACCACAGACACAAGGGGCCCTCCTGAGGTCAGTGGGCCCTCCTGAGGTCAGCTGCACCTCTCTCCGAGCCATAGAACAGCTTGGTTTGTGTAAGTTAAGCGTATATTGCAAACTCTAGGAACAGCAAAAAACATTTTGAATTGGTAAATAAAGTGCTAAGAAAGGAAACAAAACAGTCATATAAAACACTCAATAAAACTAGAAAAGGTAGAAGAAGTGGAAAATAAGCTAGAAACCAAGAACAAGGCAAAAATTACAGAAAATACGAATGAAGATGGTCGGTAGAAATTGAAGTAATCACAACAACCACTTTGAAAAAGAACCGTTAAATGCGCCAATTAAAAGAGAAATATCAGAATAGATTGAAAAAAACAATACCCTGCGTGTTCCATGAGAAAGCCATGAGAAATGTAAAATTCATGTCGGTGAGGAGAAGAGAGCTGGCACCCTCTGACCCTGCAGCTGGGCCCCTCTGCCCAGAGGGGCGGGGCACAGTCGGGGAGGCCAGTGGGCCCCCGAGGGGTGGACTGAGGTAATGGGGAGGCCTAGGAATCGGACCCCCCCGGGGCACTGTGGAGGAGAAAGAGAAAGGGGTCCAGGACATCAACCCAACAGGAAAACCCCCTTTCTCTGGCCAGACTTGGAAGTTTCTGGCACTGTGCGGAGCCAGGGAGGAAGACAGGCCAGGTAACCTTTTGATTTCCAGGTAACCAGAGGAGCCCCAGATCTCGGAAGCCTGGGAGGGCCCTGCCTTCACCTCTTCTGTCTGCAGAGCTGCTCTGACTCTGGGTGGCCCCTGTGGGGTGAGAGAAAGGCCAGCCCCCGGGAAACGACCTGCCCACCTCAGGCAAGAGCTCAGCCCTGGGCTGGCACCGGAGGCGCTCAGGAGGCATCTGCTGCTGGTCCCTGGCAGTCGGGACCGAACACCTGCATCTGCTCCGGTCGTACTCGGAGGGGTCTCCCCTTGAAACCCCAGAGCCCCTTTCTGAATGAGAGGTCTGTCAGCCCCCTGGGGCAGGCGGTGCTTTGTGCTCGGGGCCTCCACTCGGGAAATAGCCCCGGTGTCTGGGTGTCCGGGCGTGCCTTTGGAGAACCAGCAGATGCTTCCTCCTCGGGCCCCAGCTGCAACACCCGACATCCTCCCACAGGCCGCTGCCTCCCACCTGCCAGCCAGGCGCGGCCAGCCCCGGGCCCTGCCCTGGCCACCTAGAAGGGGCTCTGCGGTCTCTCCCCCATTCTGTGAGCTGAGCTGTCCTCCAGGAAGGCACAGGGAGGCAGGCGCATGCGGGGCGGGCCCTGCTGCAGCGCGCTGCCGCCCACAAACCCCAGGGCGGCGGCCGTTTCCCCCACCCACTGTGTGGGCTGGTTGTTAAAAACCCTCAAGCGGACACTAGAGTTGGTGCTGTTTAAAGAAATGAATGTTTTTGTACTGGGCTGGGGATCAAACGCCGGCACCCCTTCTTGGCTCTGTGCCCCCGGCCGGCTGCCAAGACCCGCTGCTAATGGCTGCACCTAGAGATGCTTTCAGGTGGGCCGTGGGACCCCTCGCTACCCCGCTCTCCAAGCACCCAAGCAGGAGCCTCTGGGAGTCAACCGCAGGTGCAGCCTGCACCCCAGAGCTCCCCACCCCTTGCACACCTCCTTTGTCCCCTCCCCAACCCCCAGCACCCTGGGAGCACAGCCTTCACCCCAAGTCCCTACCTTGTGATCCTGTGGAGAGACCCCCCGCCCCACCGGGTCTCAAGCCCCTTCGCTGAACACTCGCCAAGAGAAGACTCGGCCTTCTGCACCCTCTCACCCCGACATCACCCCCTCCATTGGCTTTGTGCCCCAGTTCTCCCCAGGCTCCCCAAAGAAGTGAGAAAGCCTCGTTCCAAAGAATTGTAAAATTTATTGTCTAAGTATTGCAGCTTTTCAGAGTCATCATTGCCACTAATGATTACTGATACACAACAAGCGAGTCATCAGGCCTGGGGCGGCCCCCAAACAGTCCGAGGCGGCGGCGGCAGCGGGGCACCCGCGGTGGACACGAGTTTCAGGCGAACCAGCGCAGGGGCGGGGCTGGGGGCGGGCCCGCGGTGTCCGTCAGAGCCACCCCGAGCGGGGGCGCCCGCTGAGTGGGGAGGGTGGAAGGCGCGTCCTCGGGGCGCTAGATGATCTGGAAGCTTTGCGTTGCACGTAAAAACCCAACTCTGAAACGTACAATTCACAGAGAAGACAGACACGGAAGTGGGGTGGTGCGGGCGCGCCCTCCCTGGACCTGCTGGCCGAGGGGGGCAGGCGTGGTCAGCCCTTGCGAAAACCACCGGGCTTCTCTGGGGAGGATGGCTTGGTGCGGTCGCTGGGTCTGCTGCTACACCCTGGCTTCTGGGGGGGGGCCCGGGGGCGGAGGAAATATGATGGACAAGCAGGGGACAAGCAGACCAGAGGAAGCCCGGCTAGGACCCCTTTGTAAGCAGACCTGGCCCCCCTCCAACCAGCCACTCCGAGGACCCCCTCACTCTTGGAAAAAAGGGCCTCCTGCAGGTGCACAGGGCTTTTCAGAACAGCAGCCTGACAGCCGGCTCCCAGAGGCAGGAATGCACCCCAGCGCTCTGGGGTCCCCCGGCCAAACCCAGCTCAGCTCTGGCAGACATCCCCAGAACATTCCATCAGCTTTTGTGAGGTGCCCCCTGGGGAGAGGCCGCTGGGCCCTGACCTTCTGCACCTGTCACGCACTGGTCACGGAGCCGGGGGTGCTGCAGCCCCCCAGCCTGGCACGGGTGGTCACCAGAGGGCCAGCCAGCTGTGGTCGGAAGCACCGCCCTGCACGAACATGGGCGGAGCCAGGAGTGCCGCCGGCCTTAGGGGACGCAGCGGTCAGCTCGGCCCAGCTTCCCACACAAATGAGGTTCTAGGTGTTCGACCCAGGTGGCGGTAAGCACAGTACCTGGCGGGAGGCTGGGCAGAGGGGGCCGCTGGGCAGCGCTGAGAGGCCGTGGGACGTCCGAAAGGAACCGGGCCTCTCCACACGTGGGGAGCGGGTCCCGGGGGAGCGAGACACTGTCCAGGAGGACCCCCGCTGGGTGACAGGCGGGTCACCGGCTCCCTTAGTAAGGCACTAGGGCGACGCTTCCCGCAGGGGGAAGATCCGTTTTTAATTTTACCTGTAACTGTGTCCCTGTACCTTTCAGGACAAACTGCGTGGACGGCCCTGCGCGCCCTCAAAGCATCCGGGGCAAGCGCTGGCCGCGGCCGGCAGCCAAGGGGCGCCCGTCCCCGCTGGCCAGCGCGCCCCCGGGCCTGCCCGTCGCGGCCAGCCTCGCAGCTGTCGCCGGGCTCCTGTGTTTCAAGTGCTAAAGCTGCTTCCGAACCGGCACTGCCTCTCAGGCCTCCCCCCGGGGCCTGCCAGCCCCCCTCCTGCTGGGCGGGACGCCCCCGCGGGTGGGTGTTGGGCGCCCTTCCCGGACACTGCCCCCGCGGGTCCCCGGCCGCGCGGGCCTCTCTGCCCACACCCCGCCCAGCCGGGCTCCCGCCAGACCGGGCCTGCGGGGAGCGGGCGTGCAACAGCCTGGGGCGGCACGAGGTGCCGGGGGCCAGGCGCGTGGACACGGCACTCGCGGCTGCCCGCAGGCCGGGAGCGAGGCAGGGAGGCCAGGCGCGCTGCTTCTGAAGCACGAGGCTCGGGGGCCGGTCTGGCTGCTCGCGTGACCCTCGCGCTCGGGGAAAGCTGGCCACGTCAGCTGTCATCGCTGGCCTTCTGGTGGCCGGCCTGTGCAGTGAGAACCTTTCAAGAGAAAGACAGGGCTGGGGCCAGGTTCCTAATGCCCCGGGCCCGTCCCAGACCCTGACCCTGTGGCCGGCGGGCCCGGCACGGGGAGGCCAGCGGCCGCAGCCTCCAGGGCCGTCCCGGTCGGAGGGGGAAGCCGGCCCTTCCGCGGTCGCTGTGTTCCGGCCCGGCGCCCGGCGCCTACCATGCTCTTGCTCGCTCGGGCCCCAGGGGCTGCGGGGCCCCCGGGAAACGTGTTTGCTTCGGTAGGGAATGTCCACGGAGGCGCGGCCCCTGGGCGCCTCCAGCCCTCCCGGCGCGGAGGCCGCGTCCCTCCCTTAGCGTCTCGACGGACGTGACAGAAGTTTCCATCAAACAAGCACTGACATACTTATATTAAAAAATAGTGCAAAAGCTCAACATTTATATAAATAACTCTAAACCCCTGCTTTGTCATCTTTTTCTTTACACGGTAACACACACTTTCTGAGTTGGCACTCAAAAATTGCCGCTTTTTTCCTCTGCTAGTTCAGAAAACAGCTTCTTTTTTTAATAGGCCTCTTCTAGTACAAAAATACTCCTGCCCTCGCACGTACAGTTTCTCTTACTTTATATATATTTATATATAATATTGCAGATCTTTAAACAAAGGTTTGTGCAAATATGTCTTTAAAGTTAAGTGAGATCAGAAACACACGAAAGAAAATAAGCATTCACGCACGCGGCTCGGCTGGCGCGGGCGCCCTGGCGGAGACGCCCCACCGGGCGCGCGGGTATTTACACAGAGGGGCGGGGGGCT